AGTGGTTTGCCTGGGTATAGCTTCTGATGCACAAAACAGTTCTAATTCGAACAATATCATTACGGTGGCTGAATAAAATACGATTTTGCATAACGCTTGGAATGAAAGAATAAACAGCTCCGAACAGAAAGCGACAATAAGCGAGAACAAACAAACAATTCAGAGCATAATCGCCTATAACCTGAGACCTTTTCAAAGCCCTAAATGAACGTGTGTGATGCTCTCAAAAATTGATTGTTTGTTTCTCAAAAAAATTAATGGAAGTAAGAAGGTAAATCACTCCCCATTTATTTCGCCAGAGGGACCATTTTAATGCAAAATGGTACTGTAACATAATGGTTTCGGTTAATCGAATGGAAAAATGCCCCTTTACCTATCACGTGCAAGGTGGTAATTCGTTATACATCATCTGGTCAAGACCGAACAAGGGTTGTAAACATGCGGACAGAAAGATAAGCACATAGGAGAAGTGCGCAACTTACCTCTTGATGACATTCCACTGCCTTGTGAAAGTGTCCCAACAGATAGTGTGTATTACCCAAATTCCCATAAACACGACCTTCAGCCGGACGATCACCCAATTCGCGAACCAAAGTCAAATTTTGACTGACAGGCGAATACAGTGAGAGAGTGATAATTAGGGGGAAGAAAGAAACAGCTAAGCAAAACTTGGTGATTCAGAAAATACATATAAGAGAAGCAAACTATATTTATACCCCATGTAAAACCCTCTGCATGTGACAGGTATCGATGAAAAGAAACGAAAGCACAATTCTGTGATCGGAACCGATTCGCGCGGTCATCTTTTATGATATGACCACATCTCGAAATTTCAAAGATGCATTCGTTGTGTATATGGCAAATGAAGCGTTAACTGAAAACCTTGATTTGCCAAATACACGACGAATTCACCTTTGAAACCGAACTAAATCCTCTATTATTCACTTGACATCCCGAAATGTTTATTCTAGAAACACCTGCTCAACCATTCACTCCGTCAGACCTGGAGCCTCCTGCTTGGAGGCTAACTCAAAATACGGATAGGGACAATAAATTCAAAATTGAAACCTCTTGGTCCATGAAATTCGTCCCATGCTGCATCCTTGCTAACAACCGCCATTGGTGGAAAACAGTCATAAGTATCATATCTATCTGATTCGAGACTAATGCAATTCTTTACTCTAAGTTTCAGGGCTTATAGTAACGGTTAATATCAGCAGATCCTCACCACTACTGTCCACCATACAGTTGTAGCTTCTACTGGATAATGCTCACCTTCGAGTGGAATAAGGTAAATCCTTGACTTGAGGCATTGTGTAATAAAAATACGTGATATCCACGAAATCGACTCATTCACTGGGGGAGGATAGTCGCAAAGAATAACTTTCTCTACTGTGTTATTGGATTGTGCCCCTTATGTGACGATCTAGGCTATAAATGAGAATTCCAGACACCTTACAAGTTTCAGTCTTTACACAGAAAACCACAGCATGGACCCCAGAAATGAAACGGAAACTGCAAGATGCCGTATCGCAGACGATAAGCTGACTCAACCGTTAATGATGGTGTTTTAGTTCTGAATAGCTCTAACATCACGCGCTCACACGGCACAGCAGATCATACATATTTTTGACCACAAAAA